GGCAGTAACAATACACAATGTACTAACCATTGTTACTCTCCTAAAATCTTGTTTTGAGATTTTGTACCATTGTTTTTATTTTTTTTCTTTAAAATAAAATAAATGATAAAAAAAAAACCTTGCAGCGCTCCTCCTGCCCAGCCTCCTGAGCACCAAGATCGCAGATGTGCGCCACTGCGCCCAGCGATGTGGTTACACTTTTTTTTTTTAAAGCTTCATTTTCATTCAGCCTGACGACCTCTGACGTCACAGAGTAGACAAGTGACACACTTAATGCAATGTACTAGCACATTTGGACTCAGGACACCACTTTGTTACTATCTGCTCCTGTTTGGTCTCATGTCCCTTTTCTCTCTTCTTTTGTATCATCTCACTTTATTTTTCTGTCTAGGTTTTAACTACCTCTTTTTACCTTATCTTAGTGACTGCTCTAGGTTTTAAATGTAAGTTCCTGCCCGGCGTGGCGACACACACCTGTGATCCCGGCGCACCGGGGCTGAGGCAGGAGGATTTCCGTGAGTGTGGGGCCAGCCTGGACTGCACAGCAGACCCTGTCTCAAAAACACACAAAAGGCCCCAAGCAAAAGAATGTTATCACTCCTCGCTAATTCTGATGTTCCGCATTTCCAACCGGCACCCACTCCCTTCCGTCTGAAGAAACCCCTTCAGCCATTCCTCTAGAAGGTGCCGCCGGGGATGAGCTCTCTCCGCTCCCTGCCACCTGCGGAGGTCTCCCTGCCACCCCGGCCCTCCTTGAGTCTCGCTGAGGCAGGACTCCGGCTTCCAGGCCCTCCTGCTCACACCAGCTGTTCTTGCACGTCCTCCCAGCCTCCATGGCTTCCGACAAAGAATCCACAGTCACTTGAAAGACCCATTCTCTGTGAGTCACGAGCCACTTTTTCCATGGCTGTTTTCTCCATATTTTCAGTCTTCAGTTTCTGGCAGTTGATGACATGTCTAGGTGTGCATCTCCCCACTGTGCAAGGTTCATGCGCTTCTTGGATCTGTAAGTTTATGAGATTTGCCAAGCAAGGGACGTTTCCAGCGACTGCTTCCTCATCCATTCTGTTCTGCGCCATCTGCCTGTCTCCTCCTGGGACGCTGGGGACACAGGGTCAGGCGCTTGCTACTGCCCCCCCTCGCCCCGCCGGCACTCTGCCAGCTGTCTCCATCTTCTCTACTGTTCCGGCTGAATCAACGTTACTGACTTCCCCTTCAGGGCCACTAGTGCCTCTGCCGTCTCCACGCTGCTGTGGACCTATGCGGTGGATTTTTAGTTCTGGTTACTTCACCTTCAGCTCTACACTTCTGCTCCATTTTTTTATACATATCTTCTGCCTTTTTACTAAGAGTTTCCATCCACTTGTTTCCAGAGTGTTTCTAGGATGTTCTTACTATAGCCTTTCTGTAATGGCTGCTTTAAAGTCTTTGTCCAGTAATTCCAACACTGCAGCCTCTCAGTGTTGGCGTATGTTAAACATCTTTTCCCTACAGGTGGAGATCTTCAGACTGCATGCCAATTAATTTTAGATGGCTTTATGAACATTCTGGGTGAGATGCTGAGGCTGACTTAAATCCCATGAGGATAGACTGCTGATGGTTTTGCTAAAGCAGAGCTCGGCCCAGTGGGTTCAGGCTGCAGTTTCTCTTCCCCACCCCTGCCTTGGTACCAGGAATCAAATTCATGACCTGGCTCTTGCCAGGCAGGTGCTGTGCCAGGCTGCAGTTTCTGACAAGCCTCCTGTGGGCTGCGGCTCCCATGTCAGTGCCATCTGCAAAGCCTGAGCCGTGCCCCTCAGGTCCCTCCACATGTGCTTCCCCGTGGGGGCTCTGGGACAGACAGGGCCCATCCACGGTTCAGGTCTCAAACCTCTCAGCCTGCCCTTTGGAGTCAGATCCACACACCTGCAGCCTGGGAGGAGCCCAGGCCCTGTCAACCACTGCAGGCCGCTCCTGAACTCCTCCCTGAGCCCTCTCCGATCCTGGGAGCCTCTGGATTCTCCAACCAGCCCTGCCATGCTGCACACTCCCTGAGCCGAATCAAGGCTGAGCAACGAGAAAGTGGGACGTGAACAGAAGGGGCTGCGTGACAGAGCTGGGGCCCATCGACCATTACTGGAAGTCAGGGTGTAATGCCCCAAATTGAGAAACTAAGAAATCACAATAAAAGTATATTATCTGGAAAACAAAGGTAAATATCCCAAGTCACAGCAGAGAATTACACGCAGCAGTTCTCGACTGCTTCTGAAAATAAATATTCTACAAAGCAGACAATTATTTGCTCAAGGGAAAAAGACAGGAGTTATTCAAGAAGAAAACACAATCGTGATGTGCTACCTTGTTTCCCAATAAACAGCCGTAAAGTAATCATTAACAGCATAAACCCTACAATCTCCTTAGCCGAAAGCTGTGGGACATTTATGGTGCTCGTGCCCTTCCCAGGCTGCTCTGGGCCACTGCTGCTCGCCTGTTACCTCCGTGACACTAGGGACTCGCAGTGCTTCCTGAAGGGCCACCGAATGGCTACAGGACCAGACGGGCCACTGGGCCACCTGGCCGGGCAGGCATGAGGACACCCTCATGTTGGTCACAGTCCCAACACGTCTGCCACACAAAGGCTATGCTTCACCATGCAGGAGGCCATCGAGGCCAGGACTCCAGTGTCTCCGCCAGCTTTGTGACCTCTTGTCAGCTTAGGCCAGTGGCCCTCTGCTGGGGCAGCTTTGTCCCCTAAGAGACACGAGGCATCTCTACTTACACTGTGGGCTATCACACCTCCGGGTGCCCCTGGCACCAGATGACAGAAGCCCAGGCCACAGCAGGACGCCTCAGAGCGCCAGGCAGCCCTGGCAAGGAGCGCTGCCCAAACACGAGCAAAACTGGGGCTGCGAGACCATGGTGCAGGCGTGCTGCCCGCTGCGCACAGCTATCCTGGGGCCACTAGGGTCCTGGGGGCAAACTCACCTTCGAACGTTCATGCCACACAGAGTGGACACGTACAAATGAGGGCAGGGGACTGGCATGACCAGCCAAGGAGTACACATTCATGCACACACATGCACATGCACACACACAGGAAGGGGGCGGGCGGAGTGGCCTGGCCTCAGGATTTCCAGTGGCGATTTTATAACAAGGGCTCCAGCCAGGTCATGTGGGAATGCAGCAAAATATGGCCCCATAATGAGAGGCTCCTTACAGGAAAAGCTGCACAATCAGCTGTTCCTTTGCTCTGATCCCCAAAGCACCATCCAAATCGTAAATAACAGCACTGAAAATAATATCTGCAGCTAGAGTCAGCACAGAAGTGACACGCGGCAACAGCAGGTACGCCCCCCCCTACACCCGGGTCCCCAGGAACATGAGGTGGCGGTGTGCTGGAAGGCACCAGCACTAGGCCGACACAGGTGGGTGACTGCAGGGCCAGCTGCACCTCGGGGCGCCAGGACAGACCCCGCATGCAGCCAGGGCACGGGGGGGGGGGGTTTCAGTCCCTGCGCATGAGCGGCACAGGAGCAGCACTCCTAACACGCCACAGGCGCACAGCACGGAGGTCACTGCAGGGAACAAGGTCATTACCAGACCTACGTCTGCCTCGGGCGGGGTCATCACTTTGCCTTTTCCTGACTCATCCACAACACGAAAACATGCCTTGGCAAACAGCTGCACACATCGTCAACTTCCGGTTCCGCTAGAGCGCTCCCGAGGACCTGGGGAACAGGAGCCTGTGAGAAGCACCTAGTTACCTCCTCAGAGCTCCTGCTGTCCGATGGCACCTTATAGACCAGGCAGTGTGAGGGGCAGGGCCCGGGCCCGCCCTGCAGAGGCAAGGTGACCTTTCCATCACTGGCTTCCAGCTCGGGGTTCCAGACAGCCCAGCGGACCATGCGCATGCTCGCCAGGTTGGACAAGGACGTGACCAACGCCGCCTGGAATTAAGAGAAAGGAAATCGCGTGCGAGTTATTGCAAAACCCACCAGCAAGTCCACAGACATGTAAAGTTTACCCAGCGCCCAGGGAGCAAGGGGCAGGGCCACCAGTTCCATTTTACTGAAGAAGAAACTGAGGCAGGGGACTTCGCAGCAGCCCAGCAATCTAATCACGGCCCCTCCCACCCCCCTCTGGCTCAAGGAGGACTCGGCTCCCCTGCAAAGTCCAGCACCACGCCTGCGGCTCGCGGCCCCCACAGGATGTCTGCCAGGCTCGAAACACTGCCGGCTGCGACTTCTCAGATCCATCAGGAGCCACCAAGGGCAGCACTTTACCCGGTGAGGCAAGCGGGGTACACCCCAGGGTTATCTGCACACACATAAGCACAGCTCCACCCAACCCCGGGTCAATGCGGCTGTGTTCTGTGTGCTGCCCCTGCCTCACTGCATCACTGGCCACACGGAAGGAGGGGACCCAAGGCACCCCGGGGACAGCGCTAATGAAATCCCGCCAGCATGGCTCCAGGCCTCAACTCAGCACAAAGTCTTTTAAGGTCACCCCTTTTATCTTTTCACTTTTTTTAAGTGGTGGGGAGAATACAGCTGAGCTCAGGTCTGTGTCAGAGACTGGACTGTCCCTCGGCCAGCTGGACACAGAGCCCTGTGGTTTACACCTGGCAGAGGGCTCCAGAGGTGATGCAATCAGGGAGATTTGCCATGACAGGCAGCACAGGATTGGACTGGGATAGTGAGTCCCGCAGACCCCACAGCCCTCAGCTGCAGGAGCCAGGGGAGGAGCTGCCAGCCAGCAAAGGGACCCAAGGGCACTCGGATGAGGATCGTCACTGCTGCCGGAGAACACACACCTGGCAGCTATGGTGACAAGGAGGGGCAGCCTGGAAGGAGAGGAGCAACCCAGACGCCACCTGGGGCAGGGACAAGGTCATCATCCAGGAAAAGGGACACCCCGAGGCTTCCAAGGTCCAGTGCCCCAGGCAAGCCGCCTCTCCCAGAGGTCCCTGCGCTCATACCCTCCGCTCGTAGCTTCTGTGTGCACGCAGGGAAAACCCACAGTCGATACCAGGCTTCAAGCTGCTCTCACTTCTCTGCAGCTGGACCTCAAACCAACTGCCCCTAGGCTGACCCTCGCTGCCGCCACCCGGACACACAGGCAAGATACCACCACGTTCACACCCTGCTAGGGTGCCCCAGACCTCACGCCCCGCCCACTTGGAGAGAACAGCCTTCCTCCTAAAAGCAAGGTCAGCAGAGGCGGGGGCTCGGGCCTGGACTGAGCCGCTGTAGAGCAGCAGCAGCAGCGCCTGCCTCTGTCCCAGCCACGGCTTTGGGAGGCCTTGGGGCGGAGCAACGCCAGGGGGCAACACAGCACTCCCCAGGATGAGCCTGCTGTTCTCTGTTTTTGTTTCTGTTTTTTTGAGACGGGGTCTCACTGTATAGCTCAGGCTAGCTTCGAATTTACTTTGTAGCCCAGCCTGGCTTCCATCTCAAAGTGGTCCTCCTGCCTCAGGCTCCCCAATGCTAGGATTATGGGGTTGCACCACCACATCTGGTTCTCACTGTCTTTTAAAAGTAAGATGATATGTCAGGGAAAATTGGTCACCAACTCCCTCTCAGCACTCAGCAGTATCTGGGCTACCTTTGCAAACAGCTATCTGAAAAAAACAAGCTTATGACTGGGTCAAAAATAAACTATGAACCCAAGTTGCAGAGCTATTTGTGCAACTCCTGGTTTCATTTTTCAAATTAGGTGACTCGGATGCCTCCTCTTCCACCCTCTCCGTCCTCTTGGGCAGCCTCGGTCCTCAGCAGGTATCCATCCCCACTGTGAAAACTCTGCCCACTGTACTAGCATCCTTGTCCTCACCCTGTGCCATGCAGGTTTAGCAAAAACAGATGCCCTCCTCCCAGCACCAGCGGGATGATGGTCCCCTATCAGTGCCAGCCTGCACTCTGGCCACAGAGTCTGCGTGGACAGGACCTGAAGCCCTCGGGCACAAAGGGCAAGGTGCAGCACACCCAGGAGAGTAGGCACAGTGGGAATGGGAGTAGCTGCTGCGCAGGCTCTGACCCCAGCGTGTCACCTCGCCTGCAAGGTGGTGCACACCAGTAATCCCTCCTGCTCAGGGCACTGAGGCAGGAGAGTGGCCTGAGCCCAGGAGCTCCAAGCCAGCCTGCACCACACACTGAGGCTTTGTCTCAAAGGAAAAAAAGATTAGTACCAAGGTGCGGGCAAAGCCTCGGCAGGAACAGCCCGGGGCCCTGTGCTGAGCTGAGGGTGCACCAAAGATAGGCCCACCCTAGCGCCTGGAAGCTGGATGCACCATGGGATGAGCTCTCCCTGGAGCGCGAAGGTGCCCTGGGCTGCGGGTAGGGGTCCCCCGCACACAGGGCACGGGGAGACTTGAGATGGAACCAGGGCAGGCGCAGAGGAAATGGCCGTGAGTAGCAGGGCAGAGCGGGGACTGGCAGCCGCAGGCCAGGGCCCAGCCTTCAGGAGCCTCAGAGGAGCCCGGCCTGTGCACAACACCCCAACAGGGCTGGTGGAGCACACACTGGGTCTGCGGCCTCAGAGGTGTAGAAGGAAACTCACTCTGAGCCTGTGGGCCTGTGGGCGTTGGCAGGTGGCCCCAGGAAGCCCACGCGGGCCCCAGGGGCTCTGACTGTAGTTAGAGAATTTGTGCGCTTTGGCACCTGTAGGTTTTCAGCAAGAGCTTTTCCTCCTGCACAGGGCGCCCTTCATGACCTTGGACACGGTCCTACTGCGCCCTCTCATCATAGGTCAGGCCCCACCAGGACACCAGGACAGGCACCGAGTGGACTCTGCCGCCTCCTCACAACTGCACATGAGACCACAGGCGCCTCAAAATGCAATGATCGCTTGAGACCAGAATGAGCCACACGCTAAGCGCAACATGGAAGGCTGGTCTAGTTTGAAAATAATAAGAACAATGATCCACAAAAGCAACACAGAATGACAGAGATCTGAGGTAGGACAGACGGCAGCGTCAGAAACAGTGCAGAGAAGCCGAAGCGCAGCCGTGCTGCCAAGGCACCAAGCAGCACGGGACCCCAGTGGCCACTGAGCCAGAGAGACAGCGGTGTCCCCTCTGCATGGAGTCCCAGGCCATGTAGTGCCCGGCTCAGGCCCTCCACAAATAGGAGGTGAAGCACAAAAAGGAAGCTGCGAGGCCTGGGACACATGAGGGTCCCCACAGCTGGGAATCAGGGCACACAGGCACAGAGATAAGCAGCTGCTAGACAGTGCTTCCAGGCAGGGGTGCTGCTCGGTGTGTGCCAGGCCCTGGGCTCCGTGCCCAGAACAGGTGGGTAGACAGGCAGGCAGGCAGGCAGGCAGGCAGACGAGGTGAGCAGTAGAATGGGGGAGAAAACAACTCAGTATGAACACAGTACCACAAGGGCCCAGCTGTAGTTCACCACTCCCAGTCTCAATCCCCGGCTCAGCACGCCTCAGGGGCGGGGCCGGCACAGCATGCTGGGGATTGAACCCCAGTCCCTGCCTCTGCTTAAGCAAGCACTTTAACCGCTGAGCTATCTGGCCAGCCCTATGTAACACCTTTAAAAGGATGGAGATGTTACTTTCGAAAATAATAAAATCATAAAAAACAAAGCATGGTGCAGAGCAATTCCAGGTTCAAGGAGACCAGAGGTAGAGACTAATCACAACCCAGGGTCCTGGGCTCAGCCCTGCCCTGGAGGAAAAACGCCACCAGGGTTGGGGAAGCGGAAATGGCCACGCATGGGGACTAAAGCACTGACAGCGTCACCCGAGCCGCAGGGGCTGGCTGTGCTGCGGTCACAGAGGGAGAGCCACACCCCTGAGAGATGCCAGGAGGGCGCAAGGTCCGGAGCACTGAGTGTACAGGACAATGTGGTGTGTGCACACATGCGCACGGTAGGGACAGGACAGCGAATGCGGAGAAAGCACGTGGAACAGCTGTCAGCAGTATGAACCTGGGTCCAGTGTAAACTGGAGCTCCTTGTGTTTCTGCCAATCGCCAGAACTCTGACACCACGTCCAAAGCAAAGGCCTACAGGAAGCGGAACGCAGGCCTACTGTGTCGTTCTTGCAAGTCATAGCATTAAGAAAGTAGTCAGGACGCACGCTACACAGAACACTCACGATGCACGTATTTGCCCCGGAATCTGGGTCCCAACCATGCCTCGAAGCTCCCGCCTCCTCAACAGGAAGACAGGCAACCCAGAGCAGAAAGGGGGAGGCAGCAGGGAGGCCACTCAGCACTGTGAACGGCGGGAACACACGAATGGACCTCAGCGTCGCTGGTGTTCGAGAAGGGGTCACCAGCAGAGGTGCCCTGCCCACTGCGGGGACGGAGGAAAGAGGAAAGACTGGTCAGGCCGCAGGATCTCAAACTGGAGTCCCCCCACCTGGGTAACTCACCCACTTCATAAGACCTTCTCTTAAAATCAAAAATAAAAACAGGCATGGTACGTAGCTCAGGGCAGGGGCTCTAGGTTTAGTGTCCAGTACCACAAAACATGAAAATGGAAACATAAAAACCTTCTACAGATCTAATTCCCAAGCTTCAGGAAATTTAGATTCACGGGCTTTTCAGGATGTGCGCAGGCTAGGGAGATAGCTCAGCAGTGTAAGCGCCTGCCTGGCAAGCGCAAGGACTCGAGTCTAATCCCCAGCACCACATGCTGTGCCAGCCACCAGAACCCAGCATGGTAGCACACGCCTGCAATCCCAGCACTGGGGAGGCAGAGACAAGAGAATCACTACAAGTCCAAGCTGCGTAGCGAGACCTTGTACCAAATAACTAAATAAATAGATGACAGCGAAATAGCTCAGTGGACTAAAGCATCCGCTTAGGCAAGCTAAAGCAAGCTTAAGCAAGTGCAGGGACAGCGGTTCAATCCCCAGCACCACATGCCGTGCCAGCCCCGCCCCCAGGGCAGGCTGAGCTGGCCACAAAATAAATTAAATAAATATTTCTGAAAAAAGAATGTGTCCAAACAGGAAACCACAGAGTGCGGCGCAGCTCTTGCAGGAGGCAAGCACTTGAATGCTCATTAAGCCGGTACATTCTGTTCGGAGAACTTTCGTCAATAGGTGAACTATAAACTGGCCGGATCGCTACCACACAGAGATCCAGGAAGGTCTTATTTTGTCTGTGGCCTCTCCAAAAGCTGCCTTCACCCTGGGAGTCCCAGAGGCATGGACATCAAAGTGGGAACACAGCCCGGGGCTGGGGCTGGCTCCTGGCAGCTTTGCCGCATGTCTTCTGCCGTCTTGTGTCCTGGGGAAGTTGCACTGCAGTCAATCAACAGACTTTGTGGAGCACAGCCCCGCAGGCCAACAATCTTCCACGCAGGGCCGCCACGGGACCTGGCACCCCATCTCCAGATCCTGCAGGGGAAGGGAGCTGGCTGCATGCTGGCCTTCACGGCACACCCGAAGGCAAAGGGCAGCACCAAGGTTCAGGAGCTTGGGCTACCAAAGCGCAGTGACAAGCAGCGCACACACCTCCGGGTTTGTTTCTGGTATCCACAAAATGCTTAGGGCCCAAGGAAGCCTCTCCTCTCACTCAGGTGCAGGGTGTGGGCTGGATGCCACGCTGGCCCACACACACCTCCCTGCCAACGCAGCCCCCACACCTGGCCTGAAGCGGGCGACAGGAATAAGGACCACGCTACAAGGACAGGGAAGCAGTGAGGCCAGCGAGGGGACCGAGCATAGCGCTGCAGGCAGCCTTAGGGGTCCCACAGTGGGCAGACTCTCCAACAGGGATGCGTTTCCAGAGCGGTGTGCAGTCTTGCTCCGTCCCCTTCTAACGACAGAAGCTGAGCAGTGTCCACCCAAGCTGACTGGGCGCCTGGTGAGCTTGGGAAATTCCTCTGGGCTCTGAGCACAATGGTGGTGCGTGAGGGGGCGGGCAGCTGCGCAGATGAAATGACCCGGGAGAAGCCGCAGAGGTCAGATGGGCTCTGAGCAGCAAGCTGGAGGCGCGGCTAGAGATACAGGGTCACCGTGTTTCCTTCCACCTCTGTTTATATTTGGCATTTTCTAGAATAAAAGGTATTTTAAAAGGCATGGGGCAAAGCTGTCAAGAGTCAGCCAAATTTCACTGGCCTTCTCAGACCAAAAAGCTACAACTCTTGTTGCATAGGTCCTGCTTTACCTTGGTCTTAACCATCCAGTAGAAAAGTATGAAGACGAAATATAGGAAATAAAGCCATGCTGTTAAGTTGAGCTGTGGGGGACTCAGGTCAATAATTTCTGACATTGCCAGTTGAACAGAAGACCCAAGGCTATTATGGGCTACTGGACTCTTTTAGAATATTTTGCTGAGTTTACACACCTATAATATTCAATAACGGAACTTAGAAAAAATGGGGCATACAGATGAATGTCCATTTTGTATCTGTGTATTCAAAGAGGTTGGGATAGATATATAGTTGCATTCTCTTAATGAATAGAATGATTTGTTCTAATGATGTTTGTAAATAGGATCACAAGTCCGCATCTTGTACAGCAATTAACCACTAAGAAGAATATATGCAGTGTATTATTTGTTGAAACTGTACTTCCGATTTGATTTGAAACTGTCTCATTGCTATCTGTTTATCAATAAAACTTTGAAAAAAAAAAAAAGTCAGCCAAAAAAAAAAAAAATGTGCAAGCCAACCAACCAGGCATGGCCGAGCCCTCTATAAACCCAGGGTTTGGGAGGCGGCGGCAGGAGGATCACTGCACGCTTGAGGCCAGCCTGGGCTACACAGTAAGCTCAAGGCCAGCCTGCACTACATAGCGAGACCCTGTTTCTAAATAAATATGTGTACGCCCAAGTATTTGTGCATAAAATTAAGTTATGCCTGGAACCTGCCTCAGAGCAACGGTAAGGGGCTGTGGGGAGGGACCAAAAGCAAACAACCCGGGAAGGCAGGAGCTGTGGGTGCTGTGTCGGTGTGCGCTACTGTCTGGCTGTGTTCCTTTAAAATCTCCAACATGGGAAGTCCCCAGAAAGGCTCAAGAAGCAAGGAAGAGATCCGCACCCCAGGATGCATGGACCCCCAAAGGGCTCCCGCCCAACTGCAGATGGCGTCCCTTAAACGACAGGGCACTGGAAGCCCTGAAGTGGGATGCGCCTCCTCTGGATGCCATGAGGGTCCATCCAAGCCCGCAGAGAGGGCCGGAGGGGTTCCCACTGTCACACAGACTGGCTCGCAGAGAAGGAATGACAGCCCAGGCTGGCACTGTTGGGGCCACTTTCTCCTCCGACATCCAAACCTGCCCGAGCCGGGGTGCCTGCCCAGGGCTCAGCCATTAACTGTTTAACTTGTGCTCTGGGTTACATGCAGCAGGCACTGCAGGGAAAATCACTGGCTCCCCGAGGATGGCTCCCCGCCTGGCCGCACAGAAGGAAGCATCCCCAATGGCAGGAAATGGAACCCAATATTCCTGCTGACAACCAGGTGCTGCCCCCAAAAGAGCTGACAGCTGTGACACAGTCCAGAGGTCCTGTGGGGCCGAGTTCATTAAAGGTTCCAACAAAGAGTTAAAAACGGAGGAGAGGCGTCATGCAGGACTTCCGGGTTTGTCCGGGCACCCAGACTCTGCATGCGCCAGTAAGCTATAACTAACATCTGGGGGCGACCTCGCCTCCTGCAGCAGTCCAGAGTGACGGACCGGGAGCCCTCCCAGGCACCAGGCCAGGCTGGCCCCACCCTAGCTGTCCTCACAGCCACGGTCCTCAGGGCCAGCCACCAGGGCAGGGCAGGGCAACAGCCTTCCTCCACGGCACTTGCTAAAGTGACATGGGCTTTTTAAAGATTTTCTTCCATATTGGATACAGGGTCTCACTGCACAGCTCAGACTCGTAGCGATCCTCCTGTTTTCAGCTTCCTCAGCACTGGGATTACAGGCGTGCACCACCAGTCTCGGTGGCCGGCTCAGTGCACCTGGGGGTGACACTGGCATGGCATGTGGTGCTGGGGATCCAACTCCGGTCCCTGCGCTTGCCTAAGCTGGCGCTCAGTCTGCTGAGTTATCTCGCAAGTCCTGACACTGGCTTTTTAAAGCAGAAAGCCAAGTCATAAGAATGACATGCACTGAGTTTACCAAACAATCTATGACATCCGTATTCTGTATCTGTTCCAACAGAGTCTATGAACCCTCGCTCCTGATTGTGACAGAGATACATATGAAGTTCCCGTGAAGAAGCCACTTGACATTCAAAGTCAAGCTTTACTGTATGTAATGTCGTATGAAAAACACGCTAAATGGCCTCATTTTTCAATACAATTATTGATCTGATACTTACAAATGAATGCACTCACAATACGTGAAACTTGCCAAACTACGTCAGTGTCTGCCATGCGCCCCAAGACAAGTGTTTTCTAGAATCGCGTGCTACACTTCCTATGACTTTCTTTCCCTGTTTGCAGCACGGGGGTTTGAGCCAGGACCTTGTACTAGCTACATCCCCCACCCTGGCTCTTTTTTTTTTTTTTTTTTAAGGGAAGGTCTCACTAAACTCACTAAGTTGTCCAAGCTGAACTCAAACTTGTGCTCCTCCTGCCTCAGCCTCCCAGAGTTCCGGGACTGCAGCCTTGGTACAGCTTTCAGTGGGAAGGAGTACTCATGCCAACTCCGTCCACACTCAGCTCACAGGCCCCACCGCCACCCGGAATCCTGGGTTCGGGGTGCCCATTCTCACATTGCCATCCATGCCTGAAGGGCCGCGGAACACGTACTCCAGCTGCAAGACAAAGGCGAACGCGGGGTGTCTGACCATCTCGGGGAGTCGCAGGCGGCTTCTCAAAACCAGAGCCTGGTTTCCAGGGCTGGGTAAGAAACACAAACCAGAGCACCTCGGCGTCAGCTCCTGCCCGTGCCAGGCCCGCCTCCACCTCCGGCTCAGCAAGTTCACCATCTGACGCTGTGGCACTGCCAGGCAAGCCTCTCAAGTGTCACAATCACTCCCTTTCCAAACTGCCAGGGCCAGCAGGATGGGACCACAGCTCCACAAGTGTCTCGGCTTCTCCCGGGGACCTGGCTCTGCATATCACAAGTGAGGACAGCGTGGCAACCCAGGAGACGCCGGGACACAGGGCTCAGGGAGCAATGGGTTATATGATCGGGGCTCCTACCTTTGCGAGGCCACAGCCCCGGGGTGTGCCTGGCTCCCCATGTGGGGTCTCCTGCTGACCCTCCGCAGCCCACCCAGAAGCACCCAGAATGCAAACTCACAGATGTCACAGCACACACGACACACAGGCTCACCCGAGCGTGACACCCTGAGCTCGGCACACACAGGCGTAAGAGCAGAAAAGAGCGCACCTGGACCAAGGCCCTTGCACAGCCCCAGCCGCTCCCACGGGGACCCGGGAGGGTACCTGGTCCTGGAGGAAGAGCTGACCTTCCTGCTGAAGCTGGCGGAGCGCGTCAAGGCCAGATCCATCTCGGGCACCAGCACCACCACCTGCGGCCTCTGCACGAAGCCCAGGCCGTTGTGCACACCCACGTGCAGGCGCCGCTCCAGGACCTCCAGGGCACCGCAGTCCAGTGGGCCACCCCCCTGCAAGGCACAGGGTGGGCAGAGTGAGCCCGCACCCCTGGGATGGAGTCTCCAGAGATACTCTGGGGAGCAGGCAGAGAGGAGAAGCCACAGCGGGAGTCCCAGGCACCTCTAGTCCTGTGAAGGTGGTGTCTCCACCTAGGGACAGCCACTGCGGGTGCTCCCTGGAGAACCCTGGTGTTTCCCAGCCAGCACCCCTTCTTCACGATGTACTCCAGGTACTGCCACCACCGAGCTCACTCTGGCTTCCCTAGCTTGGGTGACAGGGCTCAAGTCCCCAGGCCTGGGAGGCCCCCACCTCCCACAGGAGGCTGCAAGGGCAGGGCAGCTCCAAGGGGAGCACGCCGGGTTCTACCCTACACACCCTGAGACTTGAGATATGGGCAGGAGGCCGCAGGAGGTGCCGCTTAGCAGTGAGTCATAAACCAATAAAAACGGAATCTGCCCCAAAGTGATGGCTGGATATTAAAGTGTTTCATCTTAACAAAAAAATGAACAGGGGCTCTAACAGATGAGTGGAGCTACCCCTCCAGGGAAGTGGTGTTTATTAAATTATGTGATCTTTGCAAAATGATCTTGGAGTCCTACAGTGCTCTTCACCACCCATTAATCAAGCTGAATGGATGGAGATTCAGCCTATTAGTCTTTGGATAATGAAAATAAAACCATGGAGATAACCAAGTGTCTGCCAGTTGGACGATAACAAAAATACAAAGGCTGTTAAAATACATAATACAGTTATTTTGTAGGAATGTGTACAATTCAACAATGAGGCTCTTCAAACATCTCTGCGCTCACACAATCTGCTCTGAAAACACAAACAGGCAGACGAGCACCAGGAAGCACAGGCTGTCTGCGCTCCATTCTGCTTCTGCTCCACCTAAAATGGTCCCATGCGAAAACACCACATAGTCAAGAAGGGGAGGGAGCACAAAGCCCGGCGGTTCACAGACACACAAGCAGTAACCAGGTAACCCGCAGACCAGCATGGGAGGAAAGGCAGCTCAACAGCACGCCGTCAGCGCGGGCCACATGGCAAAGTGGACCAAACCATCCCTGTCCCTGCAGGCCTGACCTCAGGAGAGGAGACTCGAGTTCGGCCCTGCACAGAGCGGGGAGCTGAGCGCTCCCGGGGCACACAGAGCCTGCATCAGCGTCACTTAGGGCCTGGCAGGGAGGGATGGGGCATGCCCCACAGGACGGTCAGGGCACATAGGACCTGAAGCCACAGGTGTCACACACAGATCTACAGGAAACACACTGGGAGAAGGCCACCATCCCAAGGCCGAGATGGACGCAGCACCAGGGCACTGGTTGAGGTGGTCAGGGACCCACAGAGACCCCGTCCAGCATGTGCCACATGCAAGGACCACAGGACAGCCCAAGGGCAACACACAGCTAGGGCCAGCAGACGAAGAGGAGAAGAGCCCTCAGGACGTGCACTTCCAAGAAACGGGCTGACTACGGAGCAGACAGAGCCGTTTTCTGCGACTCCCGCAAAAAGTCAGGAGACCCACGCCTCGTCAGAAGAGGCAAAGAGAGCAAAAGCAGCTAAGCACAACACGGCCACTGACACAGAAGGGCCACAGCAGCCTCCACGGCTCTGCCTACGCCAGGGCCCACCAGTGGGTGAGACCCAAGAACTCCAGCCAGAGCTCCGCAGCGATGACCACCTGTCGGGTCCAGGTCAGCCTCAGGCCACAGCTGGGCCAGGGCTCCAGGAGACAGAGGCCTAGGAGAAGCAGCAGAAATGCAGAGGGACACTTTCCAGCCTCTGCTGCATTAAACGCGTGACTTTTCCACTGTTCCACGCAAAGCCAACGGAGGCAGAGGATCCACGCCACAGACCAGGGCTGTGGCCCCACAGGCAACAGCCAGTCCCCGCTGACGCACAGCCACTGCAGACCCAGGGATTCCTGATGCCCTGGTTACAAACAGTCTCAGACCAGACGCAGCCACAGCCTTCCCACAGGGAGATGCACAGCTAAGCGCCAGCACGTATGCAGGCCCTCGCCGCAAGGACAGCGCACACAGGCGCCCTGGCTGAGTAGGGCGGCCGACACGGCTGGGGCACAGGGATGCACCTGAGCGGAAGCCTGGCTTTGCCCGCAGAGGGCGCAGCAGGCCAGAGCACACCGCATGAGGCGCTTCCAGAGGCAGCAGGACAGGAGGCAAAGATGAGACTGATGTCAAGGGCTGGGCAGGGCTGGGCAGGGCCGGGGAAACGACTCTCGGCGAGAACTCTAGGTGAGGAGCCCGAAGACCGAGTGCAGAGAGCTTGGGGGTCAGCTGAGGAAGCAGCATCCATGGCAACCTCCTCGGGGCGGGGGGACAGGACAAGGCTTCCAGACACTCCAGAGTGGGCCACGTAGACCGAGAACGTCCCTCACAGGCGTATTGTATGGGTTTCTCCAAGTCCCCTTGGTGACAAAATTTACTGCTTTTTTACTTTAATTAAACACAGGACCACCGCACTAAATCGAAGTTGCCAGTGTCAGACTTGAACTTCCAGTCCTCCTGCCGGGACGTCCCAGAGTGCCGAGTCGGCTGAGCACTGCACCCCAGCCTCCGCACTTCACTTTTAAATGACCCAAAAGGAACCCTTCAGCAGAACTCCCTGCAAAAAGGCTAGAGGCAAGACCCACCCAGCCAATTCAGGAGCAGAGCATCTTGCTAGAGTGACACAAAGGGTTCAACTCTAACGCCTGCAGCAGAACGTGGAGCACAGCAGCCAGATCCAAGCAACACCCACCTGGAGGAATCTGAACTTCGTAGATCCGGACCTGGTGCTAAGGTAATAACTCTATCTAAGCT